GGTTCTTCTTCAGAAATAATTGCGTGCCGGCAGCGACGGAAGGAATGAAAACCAAAAGAACTGCGGATGCTGTAAATCAGGAACAAAGACAAAGTTGCTGGAAAAGCTCAGCAGGTCTGGCAGCATCTGTCGATGAGAAAACAGAGTGAACGTTTCGGGTTCGGTGACCCTTCCTCAGAAATTCTGCTGACCTTTTCCAGTCTTTCATGACATCCACAAATGGTGAGTGAAGGTTAAAGAGGGGGGGCAGCTTTGCTGCTTTATGCCAGCAAAAGGGTTGCATTATTGCCCAGTTTAGGTCTCAAGCCCCAAACAAGGCTTTTCTGGTGCCGCGATTTAGGCTGCAAAGAGCCTCGGGCTTCTTCCCTGAAATAGGCCGCGGTCCAACGCCGGCGCCTCCGCATCTGGATTTGGTGGGAAATGCGCAAACGCGGTTAGCGTGGTGACGTAACAGGGACAGGGCGTGGTCCTGTTTTGCTCCACCCCCGCTTCCGGCTCTCCCTCTTTCCCTCCCCGACTCTTCTCCCTTCCGTCCCAACTCTGCCCGAATGCCTCCGCCCGGGGCTCTGCAGTTTTGTTTTATTAGTCCCGGTGGGAGGTTTTACTGCGGTAAAAGTGCAGTGTGAAGGTCAGATGAAGCTGGATGTGATAAAAAGCAGTAATCCCACCGGAATCCAACTCTGTAACCCCTTGCTAACTTACAGGTGTCTCAGTAGCTGGGTGTCTGACTGAATCCTTCCTGCACATGGAGCACGGGAATGCTCTGTCCCCGGTGTAACTGCACCATTGGGTGGTCAGCTCAGGTGGGGAACTGTATCACTGCCATTGTCCTGATATTTCCACAGTATCTCCACAGTGTGGGTATCTGTTGTCTCTCCTGGCTGGGTGATTAGGTAAATTTTAATCCAATAGACAGAACGTCCATATAGTTTCTGTCAACTGTCTGTGGTGAGATTTCATTTCAGTCTATGTTAAAGCTCTTTCCACCGTCAATTCACTGGAACACTCACTCAGTCTGCGTAATTGGTTATGACTTTTTCGGCAGTCTACTGGAAGACCATATGTAACAGGAACAGGAGTAAGCCATTTGGTCCCTTGAGCCTGTTCTGCCATTCAATAGGATTGCGGCTGATCTGACATTCCTAATGTCCAGTTTTCCAGCGTTTTCCAGCGTTTTCCCTGTAACCTTTAATTTCCCTACTGATCAAAAATCTATCTATCTCAGCCTGAAAAATACACCAAGACTTTGCCCTGTCAGCTCTTTGTGGACAGAAGTTCCAAAGACACTCAACCCTCACAGGAAAATTCTCCTCATTTCAGCTTTAAATTGGCACACTTCATTCTGAGATTATGGTTTCTCTCCAATGAGAAGGAAAATCCTCTCAGCATTTATCATGTCAAAGCACTTTAGAATCTGATTAAAACAATGGCACATGATCTCATTGAAACAAAACTCCAACGCATAGTGTCCCACTCACTCAATTCGTGTCACTGGATAAAGGTCTTTTCACTGTGTACTGTGTTAGAACCCTCGCTGAGTTTTAAAAAATCATTTTGGGTTTGAATCGGAGAGCTGAATGGTGACCTCTGGACAGTGAGTGGCAGTTGTGTTTAAAAATATAAAAACTGTTTGTTTCTGAGGCCAGGCCTGGAAGTTAATTGCAGTTTGGTTCTTGATCTTTTGGCCGCTAATGAGGTCACTATCTGGGAACTGGCGCCAGCAAGACTGGGAGAGGACATGATCAAACAGAAGGAAGGGCCAAAGTTCTTTGGAACGGAGGCTTTCTGAGAAAAGGTTGTTAATGTTACAACATGAAAGTTTGACAATCCAATGTACCTGTGAAACAATGCATCATACAAGATGCTTAAGTAATTTGGTCAGTTTTGTTTTGATATTTTAATTTATCCCATGACTGTCATTGGTGTGAATGGGGCTGGAGACAAAGGTTATTGGGTTAAATCATTACTGTGTTAACTGAGGAGTATGCACAGTATGGTGTTGGCAGATGCTTGTGCCTGTGCTAGTGACTGAGTTTGATGGGAAAAGTGTCCACATGCACATCTTTGTCGCAGTGCTTACTGCCAATGTGAAAGAGGCTGAGGGAAAGATCAGAGAGTGGAGGGAGAGAACCGAGCAGGGTGGGGGGGTGGTGCGTGATTTGGAAATTGGGGTTATTCTTCGCCCATCACCCCACCACAAAACCCAGCCCACTGTTTCTCTCACTGCTTCCCTTCCCCAGCCATATGTCTTTCCCTACCCCAGCCCTGGTCCCACTCCCCTCTTTCCCCAGTATCAGCAAACTTCCAAAGATATTTCCTACATATTATGTTGCTTTTCTGAGAACCTTCAACAATTTGAGAACTGGATAGAAAACGAGAGACAGAGCAGCCACTCCAGAAGCTTCCAAAATCACTCTGCACCTTGACCTTCTTGAATGGTTGCACTCGGAGTGCTGAAGTTGCTCCCAGATTGCTGTCTGGTAAGAAGTTACAGGATTTTCATTCAGTGGTGATCAGATAGTGCTGATATCTGTGTCAGTTAAAATCATCTTGTTTTTATATCCCACCTTCAACAGAACAGAAACATAGAAAATAGGAACAGTGTAGGCCAATGTAACTTTCAGTCATGGCTGATTATTTTACTCAGTAGCCTGATCCCTTTAGCCCTCGCAAATACATATATCTTCTTCTTGGAAACATTCAATGTTTTGGCCTTAACTGCTCGAATTTCAGGGGGTCACCAGTCTCTGTGAAAAGAAATGTTTCCTCATCTCAGTCATAAACAGCCTAGCCCATGTCCTTAATCTGTGACTCCCTGGTTCTGGACTCCTTGGTCATTGACAGCATCCTTCCTGCATTTACCTGGTTAGTCCCATTAGAATTTCACTGGTTTCTGTGAGATCTTTCCTCATTCTTCTAAACTCCAGTGAAGTTCATCTTTACCAATCCATTCTGTCCTCATGTGTCGGTCCTGCCATTCCAGGAATCAGTCTGGTGAACTGTTGTGTACAGCCTCCATCAGATAAGGATTCCAAATGTGCACACAATACTCCAGGTGTGGCCTCACTAAGATCATGTACAATTTCAGCAAGACATCCCTGCTCCTGTACTCAAATCCTCTCGCTATGAAGGTCAAAATACCATTTGCCTTTTTCACCTCCTGGTGCACCTGCATGCTTACTGTAAGTAACTTGTGTTTTCCTGGTTTTATAATCCAACTGGATAACCTCGAACTTAGCCACGTTATACTTTGTCAGCCTTGCATTTTTGCCCACCCTCTCAACATCAAGTCATACTGAAGTATATCCGCATCCTCCTCACAGTTCACTGTCACACCCAGCTTCATGTCTTCT